ATGACAAAATGTTGCTCATTGCTAAGTTCAACAGCATTCAGCCCTAAACACACACACCGACACACTACATACACACCACACGTTTTTTCTAAATATAGAAAACATTTCTAAAATTGTAGAAAAGTGTAAAAACATTTTGCAAATCTTATTTTTCGTATTATTCATGAGGAATCTTGTAAAAAAAATATCCAAGAAGTTGAATCTCTGTATAGCTACCGGTATATTAACATCATCCAGAAAATTCTGCAGATTTACAGCCTGAATGACGGCAGAAAATGTAAATAAAATCAGGAGATTTGCTAAGATAAGCAGATTTTATTTGCATTTTCTGTAGTTATTCACGCTTGCAGCTTGTCCAGAATGTGGCTGCTAGATTGTTGACTGGTACCAGGAATATCTCCCCAATATTGGCCTCTCTTCACTGGTTAACAGTCAAATATCTAATCGATTTTAAGGTGCTGTTAGTTGTTGTTAAAGGCATTACATGGATTGGCTCCATTGTATATTTCAGATCTCCTTATGTTCGATCACTCCCGTTGGCCTCTTAGACTGTCAAGCCAGTTGCTTTTAGCCACTGTTTGCCATTCCACAATCTCGAATGAAAACAAAAGGTCATCACCCACCACAGAGAGATTTAAGTCTCGTCTTAAAACGTATATATATTTCATTGGCATTCAAGTCAGTTAAGGGACATTTGTGCTTTATAGTCTTGTTTGTTTCTTGTTTCTATTTATTTTTGTGTGTTTTGATAGATTGCACAACATTGAACAGCACCTTGTTTAGCATTGGTTGTATTTAAATGTGCATTAGAAATTAATTCACTTGACTGGTTCTTATAACGCTGCCCACTCAACAAGGAAGTCTTTACCAAAATGCTAACATGTCGTTAAGCACAATCCTGACCTTTACCTTGATTGAACTCACAGGCATCCAAGCTGCCACAAGGAGTCACTAGAGAGATACAAGTCACTCCTAGACCCAGACAGAACTATACTGCCCTCTGTGGGACACTTGGGCTAAACGGCCAGACAGATTTGAACCCTGGTTTTCAGACAGTGATTTTACTGATGCTCCAATCAGAGGCACAAAATTAAAATTAAAATACATATAGATTCCACATTGTAGAATTGACAAATGACATTAAAACAAAATGAATTCAACCAATGTGTGCCCAATGAGACATACACTAAGACTAATACCATCTGTTTTAGCAACATAGATGAAAATAAAGAAAGATATACAATATGAGGAAAATCAGTGACAACAGTGAAAAACTCACCTGAGAGGGGTGTTTCTGGGAGCGTGTATACATATTCCTGTTCCCTCTCATTCGGTTTCAGGATTGTACTTTCACTTTCTATTTTAAGAGATTGAAATCAGAAAACTTTAGAAAGACTCAGGATATCTCAACAAATATTTCTACATATCTTTCAGCAAAATCCATGTGCAGTATTTGTGCTTGTCCTTGAACTAAACTGTATTATGCCCATAATGTCATCTATCAGAGAGTGTATGGAAGGGTTTGTTCGCGCTCTTCCCTCCACATTCTGACTCTTAAGGCAAAGGGAGTGTATTTTGAAGAATCAACAATAAGAAATGTATTTTGATCTGTTTAACACTGTGTTTGGTTACTACGTGATTCTAAAAGTGTTTTTTTTCACAGTTGTGATGTCCTCATTATTATTATACAATGTGGAAAATAGTGAAAATGCACAAAATACCCTTGAATAAGTAGGTGTGTTGCGTTAAAAACATACTAACCACAACCTGCTTAACCCTTAAAGGATGACGCACACAGAGCACAGGTCTGGTTATCTGACACATGACTCCTGTTTTTCACAACTAAATTACAATATAAAAAAGCTACCAACAATATTGTATTTCAGGAAAGCATTCCCTCTGTGGAACTTAATTCATGAATGCATCTGAATAAAAGATCTAAACCGCACCCGTCGACTCGTACGTGGTCCGGTGGCAAGATCTATGCGACGGAACTACGCAGGAAATACCTGTCCCTCTATCAGGGTGTTTGAAGCTGGTTGCTGTGCCTGTGATCTGGTTCTTGGCAAAATGTGTAGAGTTTATTTTCTGCCTAGTTGTCCCTGTCACGGATGTCTATAGATGGGACTACATGGTCTCTTAGGATCACATGTTAATTTACTATATTTACGTTGTTATTTTTATAGTGCCAGGCACCTTTGGTCAGTCGGTCCGGTCCCAATTGTTTACGCTGAATATGTTTATGTGTCCGGTGACAAAAATATTTCGGAATTATATTCCGAGTATCCGAGGAATGCTCTCTACCATTTTTTGGGGGACCTGTTGAATCTTAGAAGATCTGAGCCCTTGTATTGATGCTCCAATCAGAGGCACAAATTAAAATGAGAAATCCACATTGAATTGACAAATGACGTTAAAACAACATTAATTCAACCAATGTGTGCCCAATGAGACACACTAACATACCATCATCTTTTGCTAAAAAATAAAGAAAGATATACAATATGAGGAAAATCAGTGACAACAGAGAAAGACTCACCTGAGAGGGGTGTTTCTGGGAGCGTGCATAGCCCTGTCAAATCTATATTTTCCTGTTCCTGCTTTTCCTTTGGTTTTCGGATTAGGGTCTCATATCTTTCGGAAACTTGCTATTTTAAGAGATTAAATTCAGAAAACTTTAGAAAGACTCAGGATATCTCAACAAATAATTTGGCATATCTTTAAGTAAAATACATGTTTGCAGTATTTGTGTTTTTTCTCCTGATGAACTAAACTGTGGAAAATTATGCCAAAATAATGTCATTTACCAGAGAGTGTAATGGAGGGCACAGGTTTGTTATCTGACACATGACTCCTGTTTTTCACAACTAAATTACAATATAAAAAAGCTACCAACAATATTGTATTTCAGGAAAGCATTCCCTCTGTGGAACTTAATTCATGAATGCATCTGAATAAAAGATCTAAACCGCACCCGTCGACTCGTACGTGGTCCGGTGGCAAGATCTATGCGACGGAACTACGCAGGAAATACCTGTCCCTCTATCAGGGTGTTTGAAGCTGGTTGCTGTGCCTGTGATCTGGTTCTTGGCAAAATGTGTAGAGTTTATTTTCTGCCTAGTTGTCCCTGTCACGGATGTCTATAGATGGGACTACATGGTCTCTTAGGATCACATGTTAATTTACTATATTTACGTTGTTATTTTTATAGTGCCAGGCACCTTTGGTCAGTCGGTCCGGTCCCAATTGTTTACGCTGAATATGTTTATGTGTCCGGTGACAAAAATATTTCGGAATTATATTCCGAGTATCCGAGGAATGCTCTCTACCATTTTTTGGGGGACCTGTTGAATCTTAGAAGATCTGAGCCCTTGTATTGATGCTCCAATCAGAGGCACACAATTAAAATGAGAAATACATTGAATTGACAAATGACGTTAAAACAACATTAATTCAACCAATGTGTGCCCAATGAGACACACTAACAGCTCTCGTCATCTCTGTTGCTAAAACAAAGAAAGATATACAATATGAGGAAAATCAGTGACAACAGAGAAAGACTCACCTGAGAGGGGTGTTTCTGGGAGCGTGCATAGCCCTGTCAAATCTATATTTTCCTGTTCCTGCTTTTCCTTTGGTTTTCGGATTAGGGTCCTCGCACGTCGGAAACTTGCTATTTTAAGAGATTAAATTCAGAAAACTTTAGAAAGACTCAGGATATCTCAACAAATAATTTGGCATATCTTTAAGTAAAATACATGTGCAGTATTTGTGCTTCTCCTTGAACTAAACTGTATTATGCCCATAATGTCATTTACCAGAGAGTGTATGGAGGGATTTGTTCAATGGTGACTTTGCTGAATTCTCTCCTCCATCCACATTCTCACTCTTACCGGAAGACGCAGCACTCAAACCTGAGGGAAAAGCAGAACTTTTTTAATCTATTTAATACTGAATAATTGTAGTAATTCAGTCTGGAAAGTGTCTATAGTAACATATTTGGGCACATGGATATTTAATCTTCACTCAAACACTAATGACAGATCAAGCTAATATAAATATAAACACACTGAAAAAGATATGCAATACAATATAATCTATTCATCACATATCTACAGGAATGCATTTTCATCGTTTGCAAAAAACAACGTACACCTCTGACTTTTAAATTGCTGGCGTGGCCCTCGTTGGCTGAAACCATGTAGCCATTAATTTTAACAGTCGACCAGTCTCTTACTTCGACTGGAATAACACTGTCCTTTCGTGTTGTGCATCAACTGACATGTTCGAGGGCATGCATGGCCGCCATTAAGTCCCCATGCAGCATTCCGATAGGAGTGAGACCTGGGCTATTCCAATAGCCACCATTTCTGAGCCACTCTGTGGCACTGTAGATTTGACTGTGTGTGTTTTAGATCATTGTCCTGTTGCAAGACATCTGTTCAGTTTAGCCTCTGCTTTTTGACCTTCCATTCTTCTCAATATTTCTCTGACACCATTTGGAATTCACAGTTTAATCAACGATTGCATGTTGGCCAGGACCTGAGGCAAGAAAGCAGCGGCAAAAGCATAATACCAGAGGCAAGAAAGCAGCGGCAAAAGCATAATACCACCGCATCCATGCTTTGTAGTTGGTATTTGTTTTTTTACTGTTCAAATGCATTGCTTAATCAAACATTGAGTCAGGAATAGCAGCAAAAAAACAAATCTCTCAAAACCAACTTGTTCCAGTTGTTATGGCCTTTACCCAGATATAGACTGGACAACATCAGTCACATATTAACATTATTCTTTGAAAGCAGAGGCTTCTTACTTCCTGTTTGTGCAATCTCTCAACATATCGTGCACTTTCCATTGATCGGTGAAAGAGAGTCCTATGGATTAATTGACGTTACCCTGGGTTTCTTGGAGACATCTATAGGCATCTATCGATCAGCTCTTTCACCTTTATTTAACCAGGTAGGCCGATTGGGAACAAGTTCTCATTTGCAACAGCGACCTGGAGAGAAGCTGGGGATTGAACCCAGGTATTCATACATACAAAGTATGCACTCTACCACTGAGCTACCAACTCCTCGCAAGTGGCACTGCGATCACATCCAGACTTAATGAGTGCCCTAAGATTTTGTCAAGACTTTTTGTTTTGACATGGGGCCAGTTTCACAAACAAACATTAAGCATAGTCATCGATAAACACATCAAACTCAACAAAGATTCTAAATCTATAGGCTTAATATGTGTCCATGAAACTGGTCCCTAATGTGTAACCACACACACATATGGTAAAGACTTCATGCGACGCTAAAGTAAGGGGTGTACAATTTTTTTTGCTATATTTGTGTGCTTGATTTGCCAAATTACGTCTCTGTCAAATAGTGTGTTTGGAATGATTTAAATATATAACTTTACAGGTAGTGTAAAGGTTTGCTGACTGTATACACACAAAGGCAGAAGACATCACACAACTGGTTTAACAGCTTCTGTCAGTTTTCTTATGTGGGAAATATATATATCTATATTTACTGTACAAATATTATTATGTTATATTCTACACTGATTAGTTGAGAGTTTGTTTGCAAATATAAACTTAAGCAAGATTGGGATGTCAGTAATTAACTAGTGATAAAAATACTAGTTGTTGCTGTTGTTCTGTCCCCTCAGACTTCCTGCTGTCACAACTTTATGAGCCGTTTATGATTCAATCCTTTATTGCACAAAACACATAATGCCAGACACTCAAGTACTCGTGTGGTACTTTCTCCTCAACCTTTCTTTTTAATACTAAATATCGTCTGTTGTTGGTTCTGGGCGATCAAGGCCCTCAGCTGATTCAATAACTTGTCTTTTAAGCGACCCTTTGTCTAACCATTTGTCCATTTCGTGCACCCTTCAGAGGTAACTGAAGGGAGTTAGAAGTTAGAAAACAAACTATTTAAATAAACACCCGTAACTGTGGGAGCGCAACAGTATAGGCTAAGTGTTAATTTAGAATTTTATTTTATACACAAAATAATTGTCTCTATTTTCGCGGATCCACTGCAGTACCTCCACGGACCACATTTGGTAAAATGCTGATCTAAGACTATGAACATGTTTCTCTATTTAACTGCACACCTTTAAACAGATACATTGCAAATATAGATAATATAGTTTCAATGGTGGTTCTGAATGAAGTGATAGAGCCGACAGGTCATATAAACTCTGCCCTCTACGGTAGGCTACAGGTGGGTTACAAATATGCCCCATGCTTATGTTTGAATGTAATTCAAATAATAATAATAAAAGCATTGCACATTTGAAGCATTTACAATCAAAAATGCAATGGATAACATTAACAAAACATCACAGGTAACTGCGTCACTTACCTTTGACACTCATTTCACCGTCTGGTGCGGTAGGGAGTAACAGGGGTTTCCCGTCATACTCGTTTTTACTTCCACGTTCACCTTCATAGGTGGCAGTGTGGGGGCAGTAAGTGGCTATAGCGTTTCTCTAAAATCATGTGGCCAGAGGCGGAAGACAACCCGGGCAAGGTTGAAACCAGAGAACCCAAGGACGTGAACGACACATTGTTGCCAGTGTGCCAATCGGTCGTCCAAATCTAAGGAAAATAATTAACAGTTTTTGAAGGGTAATTAGTATTGGAAGCCCCTTCAATATGTTTAAAAATATCAGAGACACCGCGTACCAAAAATACTAATAGATGGTCGGTAGATAAGCAGCCTCCATTGACCTCTATAACAGTAATCTTATTTAGAAACAATATCACATGTGGCTTGAAATGTAATGTCATTTAGAGAACATACCAGATATCTTTGTGACTTTAATTGTAGATAAATATCGCAGTAAGACAATTCATTTGATAAGATTTATTAAATATAGTTGTGCAAATACATTGATTACATCGTGGAGAACAAGTTTGACTGTCAAAGTAACTCAACAACACAAATGATGAAAATAATATTTTCCTACTTTCCACAAATTTAAAATGCATATGTTTACAATATGGCAAATTCTAATCTCAGTATTGCTGGGTCAATATATATGGGTTGCTTTGCGTTTTTATTATGAGGACTTGCATTCAATTTTAGCAAAAGAAAATCATGGTAAATTTTTGTGTATATATATATATATATACTAATTAATATATACATATATATATTTATATTTCCTTATATGTGTTTTCTTTTTGTTGAAGTACTTGTTCATTATGTGTTTTGTATTTAAAGTTATATAATTCTAAACATATTTTACAGGAAACCATACATTGACTTTAATTTATGGTCAAAATATAAAGCTTTGCCCCTACAAAGCCATGTCTTCACAAATCCTGCTATACAGATATATCATCCTGCCTCCAAAAACCCATTGCTTTATTGAACCATTCCTTGCTTTTTTCTTTTCACTCAAGTAATAATGAAGGAGCAGTTGGTTGAGGACCTCACGGTTTCTAAAGTCATCACTAATTCTAAAAGAGTTTAGCAGAAAAGTTTGCAGAGATGTCTTACATCAAATTTAGTAAAATGGTGTCAATGATCATAATTGCATTGACATGATGAAGATTGCTTTAACATTGCTGTCTGTGCCATTGACGTGTGCAGTACATACGTGCGCTAAATACACTGAAAATGTCATATCATAAATGAAAGCAGAGTTATTAAGAGTACAATAGCATCTGTACTAGTATTTCTCCTCAATGGATTGATCAGTCCAATTCAGCACTATCAAAGAATTTCATTTTTTCAGAGTGCATTGTGTCTTTCATCTGTTGGATTGATGAGGCTGTATCATCAGAGATAGGTTCAGCCCCAAACACATGTGTAACTCTTCGAGTTAAAACCACCGTCTCCGTATCAGTGCCTGAGCTTTCTCGAACCACGTGCCTCTCAATAATGGTTTGATTGTCCTTTTGTGTTTTGTTGGTGTCATCGACTGACCAACATCCAGAGGAAGTCCCTGCCTGCAATCCAAAATCATTCAAGAGCGTAACATTCTGTGTGTCTGGGTTAGGTTGTATATTTGATTTGATGACATGTTTACTTGACTCTAGATCAGAGGTTTTCACTGATGGGGGGTCAGTGCTCGAGGACATTGAAAGAGTGACTTTCTCTGCCAAGTAAGGTTGGAAAGAAATAATTTTTGTCTTTGTCGTGGAGGTAATTTTATCATCATGCAAATCAGCGGAAATAGGGTCAGAGTATTTCACTGTGACTTTTTTTGGAGAGGTCAACTCTGGACCAACATATTCACTTGTGATTGTAGAACTGTTATCTGCAAAAGCATCTGATGACGGCAAGTTTGAGCTGATTTCCTGTTCAACCAAATCACCAGCGGGGCTTTTCTTGCTTGGTTTGTTCTCTAAAGTTTCTTTTTCTAATATATTGTCAAGTTCTAACGAAGAAGAGAGTCCATGTGAGGGAGATTTATACACTGACTGGGTTTCAAACCTAGATGGTACATTTATTTCTTTTCTGGTCGTTAATTCTTCCCTGGAGCCTGAGAGCTTCTCATCAATTTCCTCTGATCTGGGGACATCAAATTCAACATCAATGTTTCTTAATACCTCCCCAAATGTTGTCAAAGTCAATTTAGCTGATGTCTCTGGTTTGTGTGGTTTCTTTTGAATCTCTTCTTTTGAATCAGCTATCGCAGTTTTTTCTTCAACGGCTGGCCTTCTGGATACAGTATCTTCTAATACTTGAGTTTGCATTTCAATATCCTTGTTATCAGATTCATCTAAGTGCACCTTTGAAGTGGCAGCAAATTTAGGGAATTTTATTATTGGCATTTTAAATCTTGACGGGGAGCCAACAGGATCTTTTTTGTCAACTTCAGCAACAGTAGCTCTTTCCACTACTGGTTCTTTAAACTCAACGCTAGGTGGTTGGTTATCCACTTCAACTCCTGGTAAATTGACATCTTTTTCTTTCATAAATACACCTAAATCAATCTGAGGACCTATAACTTTTGGCATTGATATTCCAAAATTTGAGAGTTTGAACTTGCTTCTTTGTCCCTCAAGCTCAATATCTTGTTTCATATCAACTGTCATCTCTGGAGCTGTCATTTTCACGTCTGGCTGTGAGACCTCAATCTGTCCTTCTGGAAGAGAAAATCCACTTTTTGGATACTGGCATCATGTTTAGGTGATTTCACTTCTGCTTTTGAAAACCATCCAAAAGACATTTGTGGCTTTTTTACTTTTACATCAACATCTGGAGCAGCTCCTTCGGGTAGATTGACTTCGCCAGAAGGCACTTTGAGCTCAACGCTAGGTGGTTCAAAATCCACTTCAGCCCCTGGTAAATTGACATCTGTTTCTTTCTTAGATACACCTAAATCAATCTGAGGACCTTTCACCTTTGGCATTGATATTCCAAATTTTGGGAGTTTGAACTTGCTTCCTTGTCCCTCAAGCTCAATATCTTGTTTCATATCAACTGTCATCTCTGGAGCTGTCATTTTCACGTCTGGCTGTTTCACCTCAACCTTTCCCTCTGGAAGAGAAATATCCAGTTTTGGAATACTGGCATCAACTTCGGGTGATTTCACTTCTGCTTTTGAAAACCATCCAAATGACATGTGTGGCTTTTTTACTTTTACATCAACATCTGGAGCAGCTCCCTCGGGTAGATTGACTTCGCCAGAAGGCACTTTGAGCTCAACGCTAGGTGGTTCAAAATCCACTTCAGCTGCTGGTAAATTGACATCTGTTTCTTTTTTAGATACACCTAAATCAATCTGAGGACCTTTCACCTTTGGCATTGATATTCCAAATTTTGGGAGTTTGAACTTGCTTCCTTGTCCCTCAAGCTCAATATCTTGTTTCAAATCAACTGTCATCTCTGGAGCTGTCATTTTCACGTCTGGCTGTGAGACCTCAACCTTTCCTTCTGGAAGTGAAATATCCACATTTTGGATACTGGCATCGACTTCGGGTGATTTTACTTCTGCTTCTGAAAACCATCCAAATCATGTTTAGGTGATTTCACTTCTTGTTGATTGCCTTTTGAAAACCACCTCCTTTTCCCTCGAGACCTGAATAAATTTCTGCCTCTTGACATTTTTGTGTCAT